AAAGTTAATTCTATATACGTTGACACTCTATATACCATTACAGTTAAATACATGACACATATGCAAAAGTTTTTTAAATTCAAATTTAAATTAGTTATCATGTATTTAATGATGATAGTAATACACTGTCAGTGTATAAAATAGTTATCCAAAAATAAATGGAGGAAAAGAAAATAAACAAATTGGCAAAAATATTAAAGTTCCGTTGCACAATGTTTTTAAGGAATTATGGGCTGAACAAAAAAATTTTGAATAGCAAAGAAATGTAACTAGCATAAAAGCTCTAGAGGTTAGAGTGACACCTTTCATTGTTTACCAAAAAAATAAAAAATGAAGCATTGGTTGAAGAGCATAAAGTGATGGGCATACCAAAAACATATAGCAACTAAAAAATGTTCTTTTTAACATATTTTATCAAGTATCTGCAGCCAAGAGATCTATATATATGGAAAGAAGAACGAGTATGAATATAGGACACAATCTTGAGCAAGTAGATAGAGGGTGAGATATGGCCAATGACAGTACTGCCTCTTTGGACCCGTCCTCCTCATCCATGAATTGTGGAAATGGCAATTTTAGCTACTCAAAAAATTCTACTCTTCAGGTGCATAAATCATAGCATTTATTTATTTCTTTATTGCTGTTATTCTTTCATAAAGTGCTTAATTCTTATCACCTACAGAGTTATGCATCAGGGGCATTCATTCATTCCAGAAAGCAATTACATCCAGTAAAAATGTAAATTGGAATTGAACCGTCATCCATTGGCAAATTGAGAGAAAAGCTTTTCCTTTATGCAGATTGAGCTTTACATATTAAGTTCATATAGATTCTAATGCGCATGACAACCTTTTCTTCGTGACTGCAGAGAGTAGGATCAATGAAAGCAAATACAATCATCGAAGAGGTAATTGCAGACAGGCTTATCATCGAGAAGTTTTCTACTTCTTCAAACACAGTGCGAATTGCAGATTTAGGATGCTCAGTTGGTCCAAACACCTATTTTGCAATGCAACATATAATAGGAGCAATAGAAAAGAAATGCGAATCAAAGGGCCTCAGTCCTTCTCAATTTCCTGAATTTCAAGTTTTCTTCAACGATCAAACCACTAATGACTTCAATACTTTGTTTACCTGCCTCCCTCCAGAAAAAAAATACTTCGTTGCAGGTGTTCCAGGTTCTTTCCATGGCCAATTATTCCCCAGCTCCTCTATGAACATCGTCTATTCCTCTTTTTCTTTCCACTGGCTTTCTCAGGTGCCAAAAGAGGTGCAGATGAAAGACTCTCCATCATGGAATAAGGGAAGAATCTTTTACGCCAGTGCCTCTGATGAAGTAGTTCAAGCTTATGCAGCACAATTTGCCAAGGACTTTGACTCCATCTTGAGTGCTAGAGGAAAAGAGATCATCAGTGGTGGAATAATGTTTACTTTCATGTTAGCTCTCCAGGATGGTTGTCACCCCTCCAAACACATACTTAGTTTCTTTTTAGATGCTGCTGGATCTATTCTCATGGATATGGCACATGAGGTAATTCATAAGTGGCCAAAATCATTGGACGAAGTATTAGAGTTCAACTGAGACCTGTACAATTTTCCATATAGCATACAATAATTAAGAACGAAAAGTATTTATTGACTAATGCTAATCAGTGGATATTTGTATATGTAGGGTTTGATCACGGCAGCCCAAGTGGATTCCTTTAATATGCCTCTATATCTTGGAACACCAAAGGAGATAACAGGGCTCATAGAAAGGAATGGATGGTTTAGCATTGAGAGATTGAAGTTTTTGGATCACAAACCAGGAGTGGATGAACCAATTGAGCCAAGCAAGCATACTGCACACATAAGAGCAGTTATCCAGGATTTTATCGGAGCACATTTTGGGGCTGAGATAATAGATGAACTGTTTGATAGGTTGCATACGAATATTGCAGCTCACAGAGATCTTCATTTAAGTTTGGGTAAGGCAGGAGTTTTGTTGTTTGTTGCTTTGAGGCGCAAATGAATCGGTCAATATAGTCAATAAGCTTTGGTTCTTTCCACGTTTTCCAACTCCAAGCATATCTTTTCCTTTGAAAATGCAGTTTTAATCCTCAATATTTGATTTATATGTCAAACTGATCATTTATGTTATCACCAAAATAAATGTGGTCCCTAGAATTTTTAATTTTACGTAAATTTTGTACAACTGATGAAAATTCAGCAAAATGCTATCAGCTGATAGTTCTAAATTTACAATTTTGGTCCCAATATTTAGAGTTTGAATTATTATATATTTTAACATTTAAATGGTGGTATTGAGAGTTTTTGGATGAATTGAAATAAAATTAGATTGAAATTGTGTTAGATGCATCCTAGGAATTCTAATATTAAAAAAATGAAAATGCTAATTACACTTCATTTTCTTCTTTTTTATTTCATCTATTCATGTCACTAATTTCTCATATATTTCTTCTTCTTTTTTTTGTATGGTTAGTCTCAATTTTGGACTAACCACGTTTATTATTTTTACATTATGAATGATTAATTAATAGTGCATGTTTTAACTCTTTTTGCTTATATTGATAATTAAATACTCAATAAATATCCATTTAAAACATAACTTCTATATACTATATGTAAATTAAATTGATTTTATTATTTTATTATTTTTCTCTTTTACATTCCAGTAAGTTATCAATTAAGAATGAATTGAAGTAGGAATTTTATAGAATTATTCGAATTATTTGATACAATTATCGATGCACACAAACATTATAATAAATGCTTTGAAACTTTCTATTGGTATGTTGGGATTTTAATATAAGGGGACAACAATAAAAAAATAAAAATATTTGTTTTAAAAAATTCCTATAAATACTTAAATTGGCAACTTAAAGCTAACATCCACAAGTTATGCCAAATTTTGCATGGCATTATATATTACAAATTTATATATTAAAATTAGAAATAGCCTTTTCTTTTACTAATATTTATTTTATACATAATATATGTATTGTTATTTAGTTGCAATGAATTAATCTAACAAGAAGATGCTTTGTAGGGTAAATGAAAATTTTGTATTGATTTGAAGTGTTTTTTTTTTATGGAAATTTCATGGGGATTTGGAAACATATTTATCGTATATTTCAATCAATTCAAATTTTCTTCTACTTTTAAAAGACTAACTGTAACTATTTGAAACCTAAAGGGATGTATCGTTTGAAACTTCAAAAATTATGAACAAAAAATGCAGTCAATTCGGTTTTAATGGTTATTTATTATGATTTTCCTTCAGCAATTTAAATCTGCATCAAAGTAGAAACTTTGAGAACCCTATTTATTTTAGTCAAAAATATTAGGGACTAGTTTAGTATGCAGACTAAATATTTGGGATCAAAACCATATATCTCCCAAATGGTGGGACGAGTTATGCAAGTGTGTCAATGCATTAAAGAACGCTTTGTCTGACTGAGCCATTATCATAGTTATTAAACTCGGCCCGGAGAGGAGACCGGCGAAGAAGGTGGGTCAACGGGTCACTGGTTCAACCGGTGGGTGAGTGGTTGAACCAGTGGGTCACTACATATATTTAAATATTATATTTTATAAATTTTGATATAGGATATATGAGATAAATTGTAATAAATAATGTCATAACAAATATTCATTTAATTTAATTTGCTATAGAATATTTAATTCATATAAGAATCAGCAAAACATAAATTTAATTAGTAATCCACCAAACTTCAAGTGTAGATGTTTATTGTAATTATCTAGGTTATTTACAAATTTTAAATGCAAAAAAATATTTAAAAAACAATATTTGTCTTTAAAATAAATTATGTAATATGTTATTTTTGAAATCTATTTTATAATTTATAAAATATAAGGGTCATAAGTTTTATTAAAAGATTCCAAATACATTTGTTTTGGAGAGTTTAAAAAAATAAAGATGAAATTAACAAAACATTCATATAGCATAAGAATGGCCATTAATGAACAAGTGACAAAGTGGCCTGGTGGTGAGCTACGCACAAACAATATTAAAGGTTTGAAGTTCGAATCCAAGCAATGGCGTGGACAAATATTTTTTCCTCAAACCCGGTCTGTGGACAAACATTTTTTCCTCAAACCCGGTCTGCCCACAAAATCGACCGGGTTTTCGGTTTAATCCGGTTGAACCGCTGATCCGTTGAAAAGTCAACGGTTCATATGCAAAAACGATCTAATTGAAGAACCGGCCCGATTTAGTGGCCGGTTCGCCGGGTTGAACCATTCGATCGGCCAGCGGAATTCCAGGACAAATTCTCCTGCCTGGGCCAAACGGAAGGAACTCAAAATGCTGCCCTTTTACATCAATTTCACTGTCCAAGAGTCGTTCAGGCACAAATGATTCAGGGTTCGACCACAAGCTCGAATCTCTACCAATAGCCCGAATGTTAACAAGTACAAGTACTCTGCAATTGCCCATTCTACTGTTGATGAAGTTGCCTCAAATGCTGCAAGAAAGAAATCCTGTACCAGAATGGAGTCAGATATCTCTTCAAGATTTCTCTTTTTCTTTCAGTTCCTCTAAGCTTTTGCAAATTCTGATTTAAAGCTCGTCCGTTGATTGGATTCCAAAACATTGTCTCAGGTTTGCATATGGATGAAATCTATGATCTTGGGAATTTATTTGACTGACAAGATTACTAATTAATGCAGCTAATACATAACCTCATCCCATTAATGCAACAAACTAATATAATCTCGTGTATAATTTCCACTACTGTAGTAGTATTTCGAGACAAAAAAGAAAGGAAGAAGAAATTGTGGAGTCTACAGCAATTTTCCATCTAAATTGTTCATAAAATCGAGTAAAAGAAAGAAAACCATAATTATCTAGACAAACAATTGCCATTAGATTTATCAGAAATTAGTAACTTTTCATGATTTTTCAACAAAATATATCACAGGAAAATTTAGGATTAGATACTCACGAGAAGCACTTGTTTTATGTCCGTCATGCTTCGTTATCTTATTTGCTGCTGAGTGATATCAAGTAAAACTTCTAACAAGTCATTTCTCCACAAATAAGCAGGGGATTTCCCTCTTTCTTGTAACCTTTGACCAATAATCTCATCGAATTTTTGAAGCAATTTTCCAAAGTAAAAGTTGGTCCTACGCCTAATACCCTGTGGATCAATCGCTCGGAGCACGGGAAAGAAGTCAGAAAGATTTGGTTTGGCTATGGTATCCACCACACCAGATACAATTTCTTTCAGCTCTTGAGATGCATGTGATTCATAATCAGCCAAATTAACTGAGAATAAAGTGTTTGACAGAAAATTCAGAGATGTTGTGAAGGCTGCAGCACCTATATCCATAGCTTCCTCGTTAATGGCAACAATCATGGACATAATTACAAAGTTGTTGCACCTTTTCTTGACGGTGCGCTTGGCTAGCATTGAGTCGTTCTGAGGAAAAAATTTGTTCTTTCAACAGTTTGCAAAGATTGTGCCATTTGCTATTTATTGGTATTACGCCATTACACCATTTGCAATTTATTGAAGTAATTTCTCAATTTGCTCAATTTCTCAAAGGTAGAAGCTGATTAAGTGGAATCAAAATAATTGATAAAAAACAAAGAGAAAGTTCTATACAGGTTTTTCGCTATTGGGATTTGTAAACATTATGCTATCTCTCCATGAGGACAAAATAACAATTAAATATGGTTGAACTATGACTAAGAAAAGAAAAAAAAGAAAACACAACTACTTCGATGCAAACTTACATTGAAACAAAGGTTAATTTTTCCTTTGTACCCTTTAACTAGATCTGAATTCTTATTCTGACCACTAAACTTCAAAATGGGACACTTTAATCCGTAAATTATAAAATTTAGGGCAAATTACATTTTACCCCCTGTGATTTTTGCAAAAATCACATAACCCCCCATGATTCTAAAAGCTATACATAAACCCCTTGTGATTTGAGTTGAAGTGTCAAACAGACGGAAAGCACCTATCGTGATTATTCGTGGTTTAAACGCGCTTGTACTACTAGTAGCAGTAAGAAACATTCCCATATTACCCCTAACCACTTTAACGCACCCAATAAAGCCTGGTATTATTACAACAATCTGGTAATGGGAGGCAATCTGTATGTGAAAACTTGTACCACCATGATGTTTAGGCTTCATTTACTGATGCAGCAAATGGGAGGCAAAACAGGATGAGATTTTCCCCGGGACGGACATTAGAGAAAGAGACCTGTAAAACTCCTTTACTTGCTTGAATCAACCATGATCAGCTCTAGCCCCCTGACTAGCTCCAACAGTTCTCACTTTTTCAAAAAAGAAAGAAGAAATTAGGAGCAGCCTTCTTCCTCTTCCCATTTTTGGACGAGATTAATTAATCGGTACCCTGACTCCTTTCCAGTTTTTGGCCACTCGGGCTAATTGGAATTGGAAATTTGGTTTCTAAATTCCAAACATTTCTGGCATTTTGTTTGGCTGGAGTTCTTCAGCCCCAGCTTATCCCCTATTTTTATTAGGAGATTTATCCCGGCGCTTCTCTTTTTATTAAAAGAAGAGATAAACTCGTCCAACCGGTGCTGGAGTTCTTGTAGGGGTATGGGATCCTGCGCTTGGCTTTGGACCTCCTCCTGTTCCCCCTCATTTGGGGCTGAGGAAGAATTTCCCTTATTATTTGAGGATACGTTGAGGAATTTCAGCCAATTGCCAATTATAGACCCCGACCCTGAATCTGTCGCCTTGCCTCCTGTCGAGGGACCGACCTCGACTTCTCATGCTGCCAGCGGGGCGGAAGAGCACGCTTCCCCCATTTTTTCCACCTCCCGCCATATCTCGTCTTGGTCGATGGAGTGGATACTGCTCGGCGATGCTGCCTGAGAAGGCTCAGGAGTTAGCGCGATCCTTTCTTTGATCTCTGGATAGCTTCTTTCTTCAATTCATACCCACGAGACTGGTGGGTGAATCCCCTTTGCTATCCCAAACCGACATTCTAATTGGCAAGCTTTCAGGTGCGAACTTCTTCTCGATGCAGGAGATTCGTGAACAAGACCTTCACCTTCTTTGAGGCATCCATGGCCTTTTTGCATCACCGGAATCAGATAATTTAGTAGTTGATGTTGCCCAATCGCCTATACTTTTGATTTGTCTACATGACTTCCCTATATTTTTTGATCCTTTGAATACTCAGACATCTGCTTCCTTTTTTGTATTTATATTAGGGTAATTTGGACATTTCGCCCACAAATCGTCACGATGGGTGCTTTTCGTCTGTTTGACACTTCAACCCAAATCACAGGGGGTTTATGTATAACTTTTAGAATCATGGGGGGGGTTATATAGTTTTTGCGAAAATCACAGGAGGTAAAATGTAATTTGCCCTAAAATTTATCTTACTTTAATCCCAATGGTATAAAATTTGTCCATTTTAGTCTTGAAAGTATAAAATTTGCCCCTATTTAGTCCCCAAGTATATCTACTTACACATAAAATCTGCCTCACTTCCTTAATGATGTTACTTAAGTGGGACAAATTTTATCGCTTTGAGGACTAAATTGTCCCATTTTAAAGTTTAAGAAACAAAGCAAAAATTTGAATATAGGTGAAGGGTACAAAATGAAATTAACTCAAAAAAATGTGGATACCAAGTACTATTAGCTTTTTGAATTGCTAATGAAGCAAATGGTCGCTGGAGGCATGATCCAGCAAAGTACTATGCCTTTTCTTTTCTTTCGGTGTATTTTCCTTAACTTCAATGATTAGGAATCCACTCATGAACAATATAAAATCATCATCAATCCACGTTCAAGCATATTTGCTTCTGATTCAACAATTAATCAGTGAAATAAATTGCATAAAATAACTCCAAAAATTAGCATGACAGAACTTGGAAGAAACAATAGCCAAAAAGAACCTTAGCTTATTTGTTCGATTAACATAAACATTCTTGCAAGCGTTCAGGTAATTAATACTTTAGTGAACTAGAAAGAAGTCTTAGGCCTAGTTTTGGGGGTTGCAATTTGGAGTGAAAAGAGGAGAAGACTAGAGAAAGTTATGCTTCCCTCATTTTGAAATTCTAAGAAGAGAAGGGTGGCTTGCATAAAATGTAGGGCAAATTCCACTTTACCCCCCTATGATTTAACTTTTTTTACATAATCCCCTTATGGTTTCAAAAGCTATCCATAACCCCCTCATAGTTTAGATTAAAGTATCAAAGTGACGGGAATGATCATTCTTAATGGAGTTACCTAAAATATAAAAAATACCCTTATGTAAAGTTGAAAATTATTTATTAACCAAGGGGGGTTATGTGTATATTTTAAAAACTATAAAGGGGTTATATGGTAAAGTATTAAATCATACGGGGTTTATATAGTAAAATATAAAAATGATACAGAGTTAATGTGTCATGTATTTATAAGGGTAATTTTGATATTTTTAGAAGTTCTGTTATGAATGACTATTTCCTTTACTTTGACACTTTAATCCAAACCATGAGGGAGTTATGTATAGCTTTTGAAACTATAGGGGGGTTATGTAAACAAAATGCTAAATCACAGGGGATAAAATGTAATTTGTCCTAAAAAGTAAGCAAGCTGATAATTGGCATGTTTTAAACTAATGAAAATTGAAAGGAATATGGTGGAAAAGGGAAAATTAGAGACAGTTACTTATTAACTGATGGTTTTAAGCTTTAACTTCCATCAAACTATAACTTAATAAGAAATGTCCCAAAAGCTTATGAATTATGATTAGAACTTACCATTTACCAAATACAGTTTACTTTGATAAGGTCAGTTGATAAGAAAGTAATGTCATTTGGGTTTTGGCGTCAAGACAAGGATGTCAGTAGGTATAGATTGCTTTGGAGCTTGTTAATCATATTCCCTGTCTAATTTTTGTTTGATTTTAATCATGCATTTACTGTCATACAAGATGCTATAAAGAATGCAGAATGGACGAGCCAAAGAAATTAATTAAAAGATAATTGGGAATATTAAATTTTGTTGTTGCAAATATAACATAAGTTGGGGGGAAAAATGTTAGATAAGGGGGGATGGAGTAGTTACATAATTGAAGAAGAAATAAAAGAAAAAGTGAAATAAACTATTTTAGGTTTTAAGAGATAACAACTAGATTAGTTGTTGATTCTCTAATGGTGACAACTTGATTTGTTTGTTTTGTAGATATTCTGCAATCAATAGTAAATAATTTAACCAATGCCATCGTCTTCTCTTAATTTTATCCTCTTAAATAATGTGATCGGGATTATCATCACAGCTGGATAGAATTAAAAAAAAATTAAAGAAGTATGGGTAAGTGAGGAATACAAAATCGGGCTTTTGAAAATGTAGAAGTAAAATTGTTGGAAGCTAATCGACTTTTTTTTTTTTTTGATAAATAATTTGAGGGCTTAGTTGGTTGCTTTTGATAGACAAAATATTATGTAGTGGTGGGGAAAAGAATCAAATTTGGGGCATTAATTGATTTCGAGGGCCATGCAACCACCAAATTCTACAATTATCATGAACACTAAATTATGCTGAAAATCATATATAACTAGTATGATGGTTGTGTCTATTTGTTTGGTATCAAGGCAAGAATAAGATAAACAATCGTACAATAACAAGTGGGGCTTGAAAAAATAACTTCAAAAGATGATATTATAAGTTCATTTTCGTGCACCAAAAGCGCATCTAGGCTTAAAATTCAAGAGGGCAAACTAAATCAGCACTGACCAATTTGAATGAGAACAGCAACATAAAAAGGGAAACTCTTAGCTGCCAGAATCTGCATGTAAAAAGCTGCAAATTAACCAGCATTTTACTAAAAAAAAAATGCTTGTTTAACGTTTACAGAAACTTAAAACTAGATATTGGCAGACTAAAGAAATTGAAAATTGACTAATTATTTTCCTGAGTTATTGAAGTTTGTTTTGGCAAGAGAAGTTTGGGAATATTTCATTAACGTGTTATCTCTTTACAATCCATAATACCAGCTAGTCCGTCGTGTACATGTTGAAGAAAGCTGCAACTTCAACAATTATTCAGTTTGAAGCAAATTTATTTAGATGACACCTGCAGATAATGTTAGTATATTAGAGATAACCAATAGATAATGGTTGATCCTTACAACTACGATTGCATCAATCATTAGAACTGTCAAATCTATTATTGAAGTAATTTCTCAATTTTGAATTCTTTGGAAGGTGGAACAAATTAATTTAGATGATAATGCATCTTAGCAGTAATATTTATTTTGACAATCAAATCTATTGTTGAATGTGCAATCTGTAGTTTAGAACTAAAGGTGCGAATGTTTAAGCTAATCAAGTGTAATAACAATGGCGGGAAGAAAGCAAAACCTAAGTCGTACATAGGTATATTTTGCTCTGCGCTAATGGACATTTCCATGGGGAACATGTTTGGATAGGAAATCACTATGCTGAAGAGTTTGATTTCTTTGACCAGGGTAAAGCTTCATTTTTAATGTTTTCTAATTGAATTTTTAAGTAATTACCACAATTTGATATTAGAAGGATGTAAAGAAGGCAATTGATAATTTGGGGGGGAGAAACCCACAATATTTGGAGCATACTGAAATAACTATAAACGCAAATATTTTCCTACTATTTCTTGGATTTCCTCATCCCACTTTTGAATTAGTAATTTTGATATTTTCATTTCTCAATTTTGTGTTGATGAATTTAATAAAAGCGAGTTAAAGCAAATGAAACTTAGAAAATTAATATCAACTTAATACTTAGAGATGAGTTCAAGAAGGATAGGCCTAGTTGAAAACTTAGAAAATTAATATCAACTTAATACTTAGAAATGAGTTCAAAAATAATAGGCCAACTTAAAACTTAGAATCCTTCTCACTGTCAGGTTCAAAATTCGTGTCTAGTAGTTAGGGGTAATGAAAGATATAGGGAGGGGTGGGAGGATTTTTTTTTTTTTTTTAAAAAAAGGATATGAATCATTATATATCGAAACAAACTAGACTTGAATATGTTATATCTGGGTGTATCAAATTTATGATCCCTATCATACCCTATGTAAGAACACCAAAAGTAAGAGCCAGAGTAATACCAAAAGTGTGTCATCGCATCAAAAAACAGTTTGTCTTGCAAGCTCTGGCCAAGTCCACATACGTATTGTACTTGTTCTAACCTTGATTTGATGTGCATGTAAGAAAATGATAGAGAAAGCGATATTAGCTAGTCCGATCATTTTATAAAGGAACATTTCAATGGAAATGGGGCTCTTCAGTTGAGTTTCGTCTGATTGAGTCCAATTGCCTAATTTTTACAATATTTGGTGTAAATTTATACAACTTTAGTGTAATCCTAAATTTTCTTCCAACTTAGTTATATGAGCGGTAAAATTTCACAATTACACAAAAGTTGTATAAGTTAACACAAAATATTGTAAGAATTACATTAAAGCTAGACAAAATTCAACACTCCGGATCCCGTTTCAATTCCTGGTTCTTTGCTAGTATTATTTTGACAGTGACCATAATGACAACTTATGCCAGAACTATAAGTAAAACAAATCATCACATTGTGGCTTTAATTGGAATGGCTTTAAGGTGTACTGCCTTCTGCATTGTGGTTCCAAGCTTTTCACTCATGTCCATACCTTCTGGCTTCATCCCATCTTCAAGCTTCCAATCAAAGTTATGAATGAGTGAAGCCAATATCAGATGAAGCATCCGGTCGGCCAGCGGCATCCCAACACATATTCTCCTGCCTGTACTAAATGGAAGGAGCTCAAAATGATGGCCTTTGGCATCAATTTCACTGTCTAGGAATCTTTCAGGCACAAATGAATCAGGGTTCGACCACACGCTCGAATCTCTACCAATTGCCCAAAGGTTAACAAGTACTACAGCATTTTTGGGTACAATATACTGGTCAATTTCTATGTCGGCCTCGTAGTGGCGACTCATTATGCTGACAGGAGGGTAAAGGCGAAAGGTCTCTTTAACAATTGCCCGCAAGTATGGGAGTGCAGAAATGTCTGATTCTTAAATCAGTTTACGATGTCCAATGACTTCTCTTATCTCAGTTTTAGCCTTTTCCTTTTTTTCTGGGTTCCTCAGTAACTCAGCCATTGCCCATTCCACCGTAGAAGTTGTTGTATCAAATGCTGCAATAAATAAATCCTGAAACAAAATATGGTCAAATATCTTGCCTGATTTTAGCTTCCAATCTTAAGGTTTGTAAATTGGATTTGCAGCTCAGTCCACACTCATACAATTCTGAAATTTTTCATAACGTATTGCATAATTCAAAGTACATTAACACTGTTCAAGTCCGGATTATAGGTAACTCAATATCCACACACACACACACACACAGAGATTGAGCCCCTAGTTCACATAGGCATGAGAGCCTATTTTCCTGTTTCATTCGAGTGACGGTGTTAATTGATGCAACAATGCACAGCCTCATCTCACGTCTTTTAATCTTTTGACCTTCAAAGGAACTAATAAAATACCATGGATGATATAATATCCACTGCCTGTATTCCGAGAAAAAATAGAGGCTACAGTAAAAAACTGTCTAAATTCTTTACAAAATCCTAATATAAGATAGAAAACCATAACTATTGAGGGGGTTATGGCTAATAGATCTGGCAATAATTATCACCCTTTTATAATTTTCAACGAAGTGTATCAGTGAAAAGTTTAGGAGTAGATACTCACGAGAAGCAAATGTTTTGCGTCCTCAATGCTCCATTCAGTTTTGCGCAGCTGAGTCAGGTCAAGGAGGACCTCCAACAAGTCATTTCTCCGACAATAAGCAAGGGATTTTTCTCGTTCTTTTAGCCGTTGACTAATAATTTCATCGAATATTTGAAGCAATTTTCTGAAGTAAAACTTGATCTGGCGCCTAATACCCTGCGGATCAATCGCTCGGAGCACCAGAAAGTAGTCTGAGAGATTAGGTTTGGCTATGATGCCCAACACAGCGGATATAATTTCTTTCAGTTCTTGAGATGAATTTGACTCGTAATGACCAAAATCAGCAGAGAAGAAAGTGTTGGACACAACATTAACGATTGTTGTGAAGGCAGCTTCACGTATATCAACAGCTTCCCCGTTAATGCAAAAGCCATGGACATAATTACAAAGTTGTTGCACCTTTTCTTGACGGAGCCCTTGACTAGCATTGAGTCGCTCCGAGGAGAAAAGTTGTTCTTTGCACAGCTTGCGAAGATTGCGCCATTTGCTATTTGCTGGTAACCAGATAACAGAGAACTTGTGATGATCGAATGCTCGGGCTGAATCAGGGACTAGTTTTGAGGTGTAGACATGATCATATTTTTGAAATAATTCTTTGGCTACTTTTGGTGAGGATACAACAATCATTGTTCTGTTCAGTACCTTAATTGACATCAAAGGTCCATATGTTTTGGAGAGTTTTGATAGTGTTGAATGGAGAATTCCTCTGAGCTGGAACGTGTTTCCAACTATGGGATATTGGTATGGCCCTGGAGGAAGTTTACTGGACTTGTGGCCGCGATAGCGGCCAAAGAACCGATACAAAATGAGTAGTAGCAGTACTACTTGTAGCAAAAGGGAAAGGGATGGCTTCTCCATGTTTATCTCGCAATTTCCTCTCTTCTGCTTTAGCTACATGTCCTCTGTCTGTCTAAAGATTTAATGGCGAGAATGGCTGGAAATTGATTCATTATATTTTCAAATTGTTGTGCACTGTTGACATTTCGCTATCAATAACCAACTCCATCACCTTGCCAAAGTTCTGTACTGGTTTTTTGCTATTTGGATTTTTAAACATTATGCTCTGTCTCCATGAGGATAAAAAACCAATTAAATATGGTTGAACTATAACCGGAGAAAAAAAAACTACATTGATGCAAACTTATACCGAGGAAAAAAATCGATACCAACTACTATTTTAGCTTTTTAAATTGGTAGTGAAGTAAATGGTAGCTGGATGCATGATCCAGCAAAGTACTATGCGTTTTCTTTTCTTTTCTTTTGGTGTGTTTTCCTTAATTTCAATGATTTGGAATCTACTCATGAACAATATAAAATCATCATCAATCAACATTCAAGCATATTTTCTTCTGATTCAAGAATTAATCAGTGACATAAATTGCATAATATAATTTTGCCCCTCAGAAAATTAGCTTGACAGGACTTGGAAGAAACAATAGCCAAAATGAACATTAGCATATTTGTTCGATTAATATAAAAGTTCTTGCAAGCGTTCAGGTAATTAATACTTTTGTGAACTAGAAAGAAGTCTTATTACTAGTTTTGGGGGTTGTAATTTGGAGAGAAAAGAGGAGAAGACTGGAGAAAGTTAAGTTTTGCTCGTTTTGAAATTATAAGAATAGAAGTAAAGAATGGGGAAGACATAGAGGGATGGTTTGCAGAAAAAGTAGGCAAGCTGATCATTGGCATTGTTTAAACTAATGAAAATTGAAAGGACTAATTCTTAAAGGGGGGAATTAGAGACAGTTGCTTATTAATATACCTGGCAATTGGGCGGGTTGGGCGGGTTTTGGGCGGATTAATATTGGGTTTTCACTTAAATGGGTTATACCCAACCCGTCCAACTTTAGATTGTGTTAATTTTGGATTGGGTCATAGTGGGTTATCTCAAACCCATGACCCAAATATGACCCAACAAATTAATTAATACATTTTAATACATAAACTTTTTCACATACATTTTAACACACAAAAAAGATTTTTTTTCACACATATAAACACATTTTCACATACATAAATGTATTTTCACACACACAAACACACACTCACTTTTTAAGTTCCTTGGAAACACACCATAAATAGAATAATATTTTATATTGCTTGTATTGTGAATTTTAGATAATAAATTATACATTTAAATAGATTAGCTAAAAAAATTGTTTACTTTGTACTTTTTTAATACTACTAATTGATTGAAACTTATTTTTGTCACAACTTATTAACACTTTTACTATTCATATCTGTTTTATTGTAAATTGTAATATTTTATGTATATAAATTATTGAATGCTAGATTATATTATACTTGAAAATGTAAGTAAGAGACATATAATTTGTTGTATAATAATTTTGAAATTATAGAAAATAAGTTTGTACTTTAGCCCTTATATTCTCAAAAATGTTATGATTCATGACTCTAGAAATTTTGCAAACTGTTGTGAAAGGTCCATGCATCAGAACTACATTCTGGGGATAATATGCAAATTGCTTTCTTCCATTAAATGACCGGAGACATTACTACATTTTGGTTCTTGGACTTGCTAATTAAGAGGGAAAATTAATTGTCTTGCTGATTGTAAACTTCTCATGAAGTTGAAGATTGGAGGTATTTGCTTCAGAGGAAATGAAATCGTTGGACTAGCCATGCCCAAGTCGCCATAATTAAACAAAACAAAATAGAATCTGCAAGTCAACTGTATTGATTCGAAGTTAATATCATGATCTATATACATATAATATATATTAGAAGGTATTTTTTTTTATTGATTTGATACAGTTAGATAATTCATCACCTAATTAATTAGAATCATCTAGGATCATACTTGATGCTATGGTCATATTAATCTCTTAGAATTACCACAACTCTAATATAAAGCAGAAAATATTATATGCTTGTAAAAAAGTACTGGTATTGGTCCCCAAAAAATTATTATGGAAAATCCCAAAATTTTTAAGAAATAAATGAGAGGAGAATTCATGAACTATTGACATTTTTACCACAAAAAAAAAGAAAAAAAAGAGGAGGAAAACAACATACTCTTAAAAGGCATAATAAATTATTATAGAAGTTGAGCAAGTTTAACTACTGTCATAAAAGTAAAATAAGCATGAGTTTTTATTTCAAAATTCTTTTTTATTTTAAATAAAAATTTAAAAAATGATTGAAAATATATATATGAGAATTTTGAATACAAATTAATTAATGAATTATTAACACATGTCCAAATGTAAATAGTTTGGCATATGTGTATTAAATCTTGTATTTATTATTTTGAATTACTTTTAAACAAGTTGGGTATTGGGTACCCAAATAAAAAATCCAACTTCCCCAATGAATAAGTTGGGTTGTTCTTACCCAACCCAATAAAACCCATAACCCAATTGACCCAATCCATCCTTTAAAATTAATGGGCGGGTTGGGCAGGTTGTTGGGTTTTGCGCTTTTTTGCCAGCTCTATTTATTAACTGATGGATTTAAGCATTAACTTCCATCAAACTATAACTTAACAATAAATGTCCCAGAAGGTTATGAATTATGATTAGAACTTACCATTTACCAAATGTTGTTTACTTTCAGCAGTTTTTTTTGTTTTATATTTTTACTTTTTTGATGTGCTGTATCATGAGCATGAATGCAAACTGCTCATGAGTGCTCACGAGTCGGGTCAGTTAGAGTTCGACTCGACCAAATCGAGCTATTGAATTTGAACCCAGCATAGAGAAGTTTAGTTCTTTAAATTGTGAGTCAACTCAATTATATATATTTATTTTTATTTTAATAGTGAAATTACATATATATCTTTCTAATATTTTTATTATTTATTAAGAAAAATGAACATTTATTCATTCTTAAAAAAACATAATTATTTTTTATCTTTTAAGCTCGAATAGGTTTGAGTTCGAGTTCGACTAGACTAGGATTTGAGGTCGAATTTAAACTCAAATTTTACATTGAAAGCTAATTGAGCACGAGGTCGAATTCGAGTTTGATAAAATTGAGTTAAGATTCGCCTCAATTAGACCAGTGCTCGACTCAATTCGGCATGGAAAGAAGCTTAATCCATATGCACATGGCATTCGGATTTTGCCGTCAAGACAAAGATGTTTAGTAGGTATAGATTCCTTTGGAGCCTGTTAATCTGATTCCTGTCCAATTTTTGTTTGATTTTAATCATGCATTTGCTGTCGTACAAGATGCTATAAAGAAGGTAGAAATGGACGAGTCAAAGAAATTAATTAAAAGACAGTTGGGAATATAATATTTAGTCGTTGCAACTATAACATAAGGGTGGGGGGAAAATGTAAGGTAAGGTGGGATGGAGTTGTGGCATAATTGAAGAAGCAATAAAAGAAAGAGCAACTATTTTAAGTTTTTAGTGATAACGACTGGATTGGTTCTTGATTCTCTAATGGTGACAACTTGATTTATTTATTTTGTAGATATTCTGCAATCAATAGTAAATAATTTAACCAATTGTCATCGTCTTCTTGTATTCTATCATCTTAAATAATGTGATCGGGATTATCATCAGCTAGATAGAACAAAAAAAAATTTAAAGAAGTATGGGTTGGTAGGGATAAAAAATTGGGCTTTTCATAGCTAGATAGTTGTTTGCTCTTAATAGATACTCCCTCCGTCCCACTTTGATAGTCATGTTTTCCTTTTTCGTCTGTCCCAAATTGTAATCTACTTTTCAATTGAAGAATGTAGTTGTCTTTTAATTTTTCTAAAATACGTACCCTTATTTAATGTAAGTTGTTATTATTATAAACTACCTTATTTAATATAGATTGTTAGTATTGAATATAATCTACCCCATTTAATGCATTTAGATTTTCTAAAATATATTGATATATGAAAAGTCAACTTTATTTGATGTTAAGGTATTTTAGAAAAATAGCAATCTAAATTTGTTTTTCCAACAAAATTAACTATTTTTTCTTAAACTGTGTGAAAAAAATTAGAACTATCAAAATGAGACAGAGGGAGTAAAATATTATGGAGTGGTGGAGAAAAGTGCCAAATTTGGGGCTTTAATTGATTTGGGGGGCCATGCAACCACCAAAGTTGACAATTATCATGTGCGCTAAATTGTGCTGAAAATCATATATAATTAGAGTGATGGTGGTCTCTCTCGTTCTCTTTGCCTTCTTTATACTTTCAATTTTTTCTCCTAAAATATCCTAGTGAGAATTTTGTCTCTTCTAATGTTTTATTAGTTTGAGTTTTCTTCTCTTCCAAGCTTTTCTAGTGAGAGTTTTGTTTAATTTTTGTTATTTTTTCTCAGATGTAAGAGTTTTTTTTTTTCATATCTATATGTTGGATTTGAAATTTCTTAAGTCTTCTCATCAGTTCTCAACATCAATTTTGAGTATGAAACAGTTGAATAGCAGTTCTAAGTGAATTAGTCAGATCCGATTGTTTGCGATTCACAGTGTAATCTTTTATATTTTGTAGCTCCATTAAACCTAATGATTTTTTAGATCAAATATATGCATGATATGTTTTCATATTTTCTGCCATTAGTGCAAATTGCTTTGTCAAACAAATCATACTAGACGATTTCCAACTGTTTTATTTTAGAAAAAAAGCGCATCTAGGCTTAAAATTCAAGAGGGCAAACTAAATTAGCGCTGACCAATTTGAATGAACAATAACATAAAAAGGCAAACTCTTAGCTGCCAGAATCAGTATGTCAAAAGCTGCAAATTAACCAGCTTTCTACTAAAAAATTCTGCTTGTTTAACGTTTAGAGAAACTTAAAACTAGATACTAGCAGACTAAAGAAATTGAAAATTGACTGATTATTTTCCTAAGTTATTGAAGTTTTTTATGGCAAGAGAAATTTGGAAGTATTT